TAGATGACAATCATGACATGACCAACCTCAACGTCAAGAAAGCGAAAGCATCGGGGTTGGAAACGTCTAAAACTATTGTTGTTGATTGATGTATTTATTATTTGGTTTGAATATTTTTATTGTAATATCTAAATATTTGATGAACTTACATATCATCTTGAATAGTCGATCGTATTTCAAAGGAAAGTTTCATTTATTTTTATGTGATTTTACATTGTTTAAACACAACCCGATCAACCCGACCAACCCGATCAACCCGAACGGGTTGGGTTGGGTTGGGTTGAACTTTTGTTTGGGTTGGGTTGAACTTTTGTTTGGGTTGGGTTGGGTTGAAAATTTTCAAACCGCCAACATTGGGTTGGGTTACTAAAACAGCTCCAAACCGATTAACCCGGGCCGTGAGCACCCCTAGCTGCATTGCGCGAGTACTCTTCTAGTTATAAAATATATATTTTATACAAACTAAAAGCGTACTCACACAATGCAACGAGATACATATCAATTTTATTGTTTCATTTTATTTGTTGTCTTTTGATATAATACAGTTTTATATAGTTATAGAAAGTGATAATGTTTTCATTTTTGAATAAAATATAAATTTGAAGATATTGTAATTAAAATTTGAAAAAAATAATAATATCGACATTAGTATCAAATTAACCATTTAAAAGTTCGTTTTTGGTGTAACTTCTTTGATTCGATTTTTTTATTATATTTTAATTTAGATCTAATAATGAATCAATTGATTTTAATATAAATTTAAAAAAATAAATAATAATTAAGTATTTTATTAATTTAATAACGAATCAATTTATTTTTGGTTTGATAATCTAATTTTTATAAATATAATAATAAAGTATTATATTAAAACTCAACGATTATCCTAATTATATTTTAGACTTTTTATATTTAAAATGTGATGTTTATCTTGTATATGATTATGTTTATCTACAGTCAGTTACATGAATTCAAAAATGAAGATCCAATAAGTTGTATTTTATGCATAATTTACTTGTAATTCTGAATTTTAAGTAACATGCATTAATAAACAATTTTTCATGCATAAAAAATGGTTTTTAAGAGTTTTGTCAAATGCTTTGTAATATAGTATAGATAACTAGAGGTGTCCAACCAGACATGAGTACGAGACCTACACTGGGTTCAATTGAATCCAAGAGCACGACGTTGCCAGCCTGGGTGAACCCAACAAATTTATGTTTGTTCTAATATTCAAATGAAAAATTCGTTTTAACTCAAACGTAATTACTATTGTAAATTTATTGGAACATCTAAAAACTACCATGGGTACACATGTTCATAATTTGAAATTTATATTTCAATTAAATACACTTATTTAAGTAAATAAAAAACCATAATTATTAATAACAAACTAGAAGGGTACTCGTGCAATGCAGCGAGATATATCTCGATTTTAGTATTTCGTTTTATTCCGTCTATGTAGATGTTTTAATACGGTCTTTATATGGTTTTGAGAATGTTCTTATTTTTGTGCAATTTTTTAATTCAATTTTTTATTATAATTTAATTTAGATTTAATAATGAAGTAATTTAGTTTTGATTTAATAATACAATTTTTTATAAGGATAATAATTTAGTATCTTGTTAAAACTCAATGATTATCCTAATCATAATTTATAATTTTTATATTTAAAATAAAATGTTTATCTTGTATTTGACTATGTTTATCTGCAGTTAGTTACACGAATTTAAACATGAAGCTTTAGTAAGTTGTACTTACGTACAATTTATTTGTAATCTTGAATTTTAAGTAATATGTATTAAGAAACAATACCTCATGCATAAAAAATGGTTTTTAATATAATATAAATAAATATCACAACAAATTATCAGATTACCGACAAATTTTCGGGTTTAAATCAAACCAATTTGACGTTTGGGACCAGACTTTTTTACGTCTCTAAATTAAATAAAAATAGATATTAAATTATATATAAATACTTTTATATCATTATACATAAAAAATTCATGGGACAAAGGTTTTTGCCACATCGATACACTCGAAACCACAACAAATGAACCGTACACATCAATGGCAACTAACTTTTAGTCGACAAAATATCCATGTCGAAATCAAGGGACTAAAATGATAATTTTTAAACCAAAGGGGGCAAAAGTGTAACTATGTGTTTGAGGGGCGTGGTGCTATTTGAATCGCCACTTTTCGATCTTTCAAAACCCTCCTTCTTCAAAAACCTAAACCCTCTTTTGTGGCGGCGGAAACTCCTCCTTCCTCTATCAATTCCCTCTCAAAAACTCAATAATTCTTAGGGTTTACTTTCTGGTTTTTGAAGATCTATCATCTCCACTATCAGTATGGCCGCCGTCGCTCCTCCTGCAGATCGTATCCTCTGTTTACTAATGATTTTGTGTTGTTCATTCTTGATTTAAATTGGGTTTCTTTTATTTACTTTATGGTATCGTTTGAGATCTGGGTTCTGTGAGATTTGTATACGCGATTGTTTGTTGCACAAAGTCGAATTTTCTATGTTTTAGTGTTGTCACTGGATCTTGCTTGCAGATCACTAGTTTCTCAGGGTTTTAGCATAAACAGTACGGTGTAGGGGTTTTGAATCAATTGTATGTGATAACAGTTTCTTTGATGAGTAAGTGGATTTCCTTTACTTTTCTGATATAGAAGCTGCTGATTTGCTGAAGAATCTATCATTGGATTCTCAAACCAAGACTCTGGAAATTCCTGAGCCCACTAAGAAGGTGAGTTCTTTGTCTTCATATAGTAATGTTTAAAGGTTTCTTGATATCCTAGTTTTGTTGATAGCAATTGACATCGTTAGAAGTTTGATTATGTGATCTGTTTTATGTAATTTCCATTACAGCCTTCTGTGGACAATGGGAATGTTCAGGTTCAACCTACCAATAGGTCTGTAACCCCTTTGATTCCAGATTACATGGATCCAGCAGTGGCTTATTTTCCAAATGGTTATCCTTCTACCGCATATTACTATGGAGGTGATTTGATTTACTCACCAAGAATCTGTTTTTGATTTGGGCAAGACATAGTTGATTTAGCTAATTTCTGTTTCTTGATTTAGGTTATGATGGGACTACCACTGATTGGGATGAGTACTCTAGATATGTGAATTCTGATGGAGTGGATATGACTCAAGTAAGTAGAAGTCCATTCTGTCTTTATTGTGGTTGTAATACGATCTTGTGATTATTTGATCAGCACCTTGTTATATGATGAATATTGTTTGTGTTGTTATTACAGGGTGTTTATGGGGACAATGGGTCAGTGATGTATGGTTACGGTTATGCCCCATATGGACCATATTCTCCTGCTGGTTCACCCATGCCAACAGTGGGTCAAGATGGTCAATTTTATGGCGCCCAACACTCCTACCAATACCCTAGTCCTTACTTTCAACCCATTGCTCCTACTGGTTCACCCTTTACTGCACCTGCTGCTCCTCCTAAAGGTGAGATTACCGCACCTGCTTCTGCTGACCAACCGCCTATCACTGTGGAGACAGCTAAAGGGAACTCTAATGGTGTCGTTAACGGTGTGGGTGCCAAGGGAAACACTGGTTCTGCACCTGTAAGACCAACACCATATCAGCACTCAGTTTTCAATGCAAATGGTTCATACGGAAGGGGTGCACAAACTGCTTATCAGGATCCTAGATTTGGTTTTGATGGGGTCCATTCCCCAATACCATGGTTAGATGGATCAATATATTCTGATCCTCAACCTAGAAACAATGGGAACAACGCCCCATATGGGAACGGTGTTGCATCAAAGAATCAGAACGTTCGTCCCCATTCTCATCTCATGGTATGCCATATTTGTGTTTGTTTTTTACATATGGTTTATAGCTTTCTAGAGATGCTAATATATTCTGGTTTTGCAGAGTCCAAGACCAATCTCTGGCATGAATACAGCAAGTGGGTATATGAACAGAATGTATCCCAGCAAGTTATACGGCCAGTACGGAAATACATACCGATCGGGTTATGGTTTTGGTTCCAATGCTTATGATATGCAAAACGGTGGACGAGGTTGGTTGGCTGTTGATAACAAGTATAAGCCTCGAGGCCGTGGCAATGGTTTCTTTGGTTATAACAATGAAAACAGTGATGGTTTGAATGAGCTAAATAGGGGACCGAGAGCTAGGAGCACCAAGAACCAGAAAGTGTTCACACCCATCACTATAGCAGTGAAGGGACAGGATATAACTTTGGCAGCTGCTGAGGGCATCGAAAAGGAGACAAAGGAGGTGAGTGTGACTCCACAGAGAGAGCAATACAACCAGCAAGATTTTCCAGAAACTTACACCGATGCCAAGTTCTTTATAATTAAATCTTATAGTGAAGATGACGTCCATAAGAGCATCAAGTATAATGTTTGGGCCAGCACACAGAATGGAAACAAGAAACTTGATGCAGCATATCAGGAAGCCCAGCAGAAAGCTGAAAAGTGCCCTGTTTTTCTTTTCTTTTCGGTAAGTGGTTTCTTGACGCTAACTTGATGTTTCTTTCACTATCTAGTGTTTTTAATAAATCTTTATCTTTAGGTGAATACAAGTGGACAATTTGTGGGTGTTGCTGAAATGGTAGGGCCAGTTGATTTTGACAAAAGTTTAGAGTACTGGCAACAAGACAAGTGGATTGGTTGCTTCCCTGTAAAGTGGCATATTGTTAAAGATCTTCCTAACAGCTTGTTGAAACACATTATTCTCGAAAATAACGAGAATAAACCCGTCACCAATAGCAGGGATACCCAAGAGGTACAAAAATTTGGTAACTTTTACGTGATACTTGAATCTTGTTTGGTCTTTTGGGAGTTTGAGTTGATGATTGGTTTTTGTTCAGGTTAAGTTAGATCAGGGATTGCAGATGATTAAGATATTCAAGGAGCATTCTAGCAAGCAATGCATATTAGATGACTTTGAATTCTATGAGGATCGACAGAAGAGAATTCAGGAGAAGAAGGCAAAGCAACAACAGTTCCAGAAACAGGTAGATGATTATATGTTGTTTGTTGGTTTTTGTAAAGTTAATTTGGTTTCGTTTATTGTTCTTCATTTGGGATGATTTCTGAATGGATTGGTGTTTTCTTTAGGTATGGGAAGGAAAACCTACTATTGAAGAGAAGAGTAAAGAAGGGGTTAAGGTGGAGGTTCTTGGACCAAAACCTTTGGTCAATGAAGCTAACCCGACTGAGGCTAAACCTCTGGATAATGTGCAAGAAAATGTTGGAGATGGGGCAGAGAAGGAGGTTGTAGTAAATGGGGTTGCGAATGGTTGTTAAATGAGCAATGTATGTGGGCGGCACAAAATTGTTTGATTGGAAAATTTATACACATGCCGTCCTCAGAAAGTGGGCATCGTTCGGTTTTTTTAAAAGAAAGGTGAGAAGTGAAGAATAGGGAAATGTAAATTCGGAGGATCCCCATATTCTTTTCTGATGGGGTCGGACTCTTCTATATAGTGTTTTAGCTACAAACAGGTTTCAAAGGATCCTTTTAGGTTTTGGGCTAGGTTTCGTTATATTCCAACTTTGATCATTTTCCATTTTGGTTTCGGTTTTGGTTTTTCCGTGGGTTTTGTGTTCTTGTCGTCGGTGTTTAGTTTTTTCTTTCTCATTTCTTTTTCCTTCCTTGTAAATCTAGATCAAGAATACATAGATGCTAGAAAAGCAGGGTGGGATGGATGGTTGTTGGCAAATATCAGGTGGTTTTGATTTGATGATTCTAAATATGTTTCATTAGTTGCTGCTGCTGCTGCTCTGCTATTAGAATGAAATTTTGTTCCTTTTGAGCTCTTTGACCAAAACCATCTTGTTATTTGCACTAAGGTTAATTATTGTTTGGTTTTATGGCATAGGTCCCAAATATGTTAAATACACCTGATTTTTTTCCAAATTTCAACTTATAATATGACATTTATATATAATCCTTCAAAATTGCAAGTAAGCGAGAAGGAAATGAACGGAATAATTGTACTAATTGTTAAATGCGTTCTTACCTACAATTTGACATCATCACACTTATTTCGACATAAAAGGAGGTGCAAATAGTATTACCCAACGTAATTTATATCAGAATCAGTTCAAATCATGTCTTGAAAATGTAAAAATTAAAGCCATCGTGTGAAAAAGAGGAAATAGGCAGTGGTGCATTTAAATGGATACATTTTTACAATACCAACCAACAATTTACTTTTGACTGCACCACCAAAAACCCATTCATCAATGAGGTAAAACACATGTATTATTACTATTAGATGGATAACCAATCCCGCCCTGCATTTCTAGTTTGTTTTGAAAAGCACAAAACTGATCTAGATTTACAAGGCAGGATCATGATGCTCATTGATCAGAAGAGAAAAATAAGAAACAAAAACTAACATAGAAGAACATAATATTAAAGGCCACAAGAAGTGATTTTTAGAAGAAAAAAAGAGACTAAAATAGAACATGATGAAAACTCAGAAGAAACCTAAAACCCAAACCCTGAAAGATGTGAAAAACCTGTTAGAATAGAAGCTGAAAAACTATAAACCCACCACAAAGATTAAACATGGGGCTTCCAAATCTGGATCCTCCTATTTTACATGTGGCCACACCGAGACTAATGGCCATATTGCAACCTCCCCCTCCTACTTCTTGACTTCTTGTGTACATTCTTTTTCAAGACCAAAGGATGGATCCGCTTCGGTTGGGGCAGCACTTCCAAGATTCTAAACCCAACATCTTTCTTTCTTTCTTTTCCCTTGGAGCACCACCCATGCACATGGCTGAATCTAGCAACCATTTGCAACCCCATTTACTACAATCTTCTTCTCTGCAAGTTTCACCTCCCCATTTATATGAACACCTGAAGCATCTTCTTTCGCAATTTCTTGACCAATATCAGATGTCTTTGGTGGTACTATTTCCACTTTAATGCTGCTTTCTTTCCTTTTGTCATCAGTAGCAGGCTTGCCTTCCCACACCTGACAAAAATAAGACCAAATGAAATATTAATGCATTTACGTTCACCAAACTTCTTATAAAGATTAGAAAGATTTATGCTTTTATGTGACCTACCTGTTTCTGGAACTGCTGTTGCTTTGCCTTCTTTTCTTGAATTCTCCTCTGTCTGTCCTCGTAGAAATCAAAATCGTCTAATATGCATTGCTTGCAAGAATGTTCCTTGAATATTTTAATCATCTGCAATCCCTGCTCTAACTTCACCTGAACAAAGATGCGACATTAGTTGATAACAAAACACAACTATGGGAAAAAAAAATTCATTGATGAATGTTATGAAGAAACTACCTCTTGGGTGTCCCTGCTATTGGTAACAGGTTTGTTCTCATTGTTTTCAAGGGTGATGTGCTTCAGCAAGCTGTTTGGTAGATCCTTAACGATATGCCACTTTACAGGGAAGCAACCAATCCACTTGTCTTGTTGCCAGTACTCCAAGCTTTTGTTAAAATCAACCGGACCGACCATCTCAGCAACACCAACGAATTGGCCGCTGGTATTCACCTGTGAAGATAAATATATGGTAAAGCTCACAGAACAGGAACGGTTTATGGTGAAAAGTACATCAAAATTGTGTTGTGACAAAATGCTTACCGAAAAGAAAAGAAAGACAGGGCATCGTCCAGATTTCTGCTGAGCCTCCTGATATGCAGCATCAAGCTTCTTGTTTCCATTTTGTGTACTAGCCCAAACATTGTACTTGATGCTCTTATGAACATCATCTTCACTGTATGACTTAATGATAAAGAACTTGGCATCTGCATAAGTCTCGGGAAATTCTGGCAGGTTGAATTGCTCTGTGTCGGGAGTTACGCTCACCTTCTCCTTCACCTCGGTTTCCTTCTCGACAGCATCAGTAGCTGCAAAAGTTATATTTTGTCCCTTCACAGCTAAGGTTACTGGTGTCAAAACCTTCTGGTTCTTCACACTCCTGGCTCTAGGTCCCCTGTTAAGCTCATTCAGACCATCCCCATTTTCGTTGTTATATCCAAAGAAACCATTGCCTCTCCCTCTAGGCTTGTACTTGTTATCCACTGCCAACCAACCACGCCCGTTACCTTGGGAATCATAAGCATTAGAACCATATCCATAGCCAGAACGATAGGTGCTTCCATATTGGCCGTATAACTTGTTTGGATACATTCTATTCATATATCCATTGGCTGTGTTTACACCAGACATTGGCCTCGGACTCTGCAAACCCTGTAAATATCACAACTTCATATGTTAGAATCTCAAGGTATCTCCAAAACCTACTAAAAACAAGAAACTCTTTAAAATAAACTCAATTTTTTTGGCATACCATGAGATGAGAATGAGGGCGAAGATTTTGATTTCTTGATGCAACACCATTCCCATTTGAAACTGGAGCAATGTTTGAATTGTTTCTAGGTTGACCATCAGAATACAATGGGGAGTCTAACCAGGGGATTGGGGAATGAACCCCATCAAAACCGTATCTAAGATCCTGATAACCATTTTGCACCCCTCTTCCATAGGATCCATTTGCATTGAAGCCTGAATTCTGATAAGATGTTGGCCTGACAGGGGTTGGACCGGTGGCTCCCTTGATACCCACACCATTTACAATGCCATTAGAATTTCCATTAGCAGTGTCCACAGTCAAAGACGGTTGGTCAGCAGGAGCAGATGTGGTAATCTCACCTTTAGGAGCAATAGGAGCAGATGAGTAGGGGCCACTAGTAGGAGTCATTGGTTGGAAATAGGGACTCGGGTATTGGTAATGTTGAGCTCCATAGAGCTGACCATCGTGACCAACCGTTGGCACAGGTGAAGTAGCAGGAGAATAAGGACCATACGGTGCATAGCCATAGCCATGATACATAAGCGATCCATTGTCCCCATAAACACCCTGTAACAAAATCACAAAAGATGGTTATTGACTTATGACAATGAATAGGTTCAAACTACAAAATAGCAAAATATAAGAACATGTCAAAATGTATGAAAACTAATAGAAAACTTACATGAGACATATCAACTCCATCAGGATTTACGTATCTTGAATAGTCATCCCAATCATTGGTAGTCCCATCGTAACCTTAACGAGATATCAGCAAGGATTAGATACAAAAGTGCTTAATCTACAAGTGAACTAAATTATATATCAAAACTGAATTACCTCCATAGTAATATGCAGTAGAAGCATAGTTGGGAAAATAAGCCACTGTCGGATCCATGAAATCCGGTATCAAAGGGGTAACCGACCTATCTAAAGGCTGATTCTGGGCATTTCCGGCATCAGCGGTGTCCACAGAAGGCTAAAGAGCAAGCAGACATAACATTTCAATATTATCACTACTGTCAAAACATATTATAACATGATTACCAATCCTTACCTTCTTAGTGGGCTCAGGAATTTCCAATGTCTTGGATTGAGAATCCAATGACAGATTCTTTAGCAAATCTGCAGCTTCTGTAGCAAAATAAGTAAAGGAAAGCCTACTTTTTCTTTAAAAAGGCAAGCATAAACAGTTTTGAGAAAAACCCTAAATCTATCGAAACAATGAAAGCCATCATTATCCTAACCCTCATAAATTAAAATTAGCTGAAAAATACCCAAATCAAGATCCAGTAGAGCATAACGACAAATCAAAATCAAAGACATAGGCTAAAAGTATAGTGAAATTTTTAAATCACGAAAATAAATTCTCTTTTTTTACTTGAAAACGCTAATCATAGCAGGATAATTATAATTGATGTAACGATTACAGCTCCTGAAGATCTTATGCTCGAAGGTTTTCATACAAAATAGCACAAATCATCAGTCAAAATAGTCAAGAAAGCACGTAGATATAGAAAAAAGAAAAAGTTTTTATCTGCGCTAGATGAGATCAAGCAAAAAAACTCAGAATAATATCAGCTTATGACAAATAATAACTTCAATTTGATGTAACATACTACCGACACGCCTGTAAATCACACAGAACTCAGATCCATGAAACTAGATTAAACTCAACCTAGTTCGAATCAAGATACAACAATAGCAGATCAGTAAGCAAATCCTAGCAGAAAAAAGGATACGATCTGAAGAAGGAGCAACGGCGGCCATAGCTGGAGCTGATAGATTGATAGATCTTCAAAAACAGGGTACGAAACCCCCCAAAAAATATGGGTTTTGAAAGGGGATAGAGAGAAACCCTAAGGGAGAGAGAATGAAAGGAGTTTCAGCCGCCACGAAGAGCGAGGGTTTGGGTTTTCGAAGAAAGAGGATTTGATCCATCTGAAAGTGGTGATTCAAATAGCACCACACCCTCTGCACATGTGCTTACACTTTTGGCCCCTCTAGTTTCAAAAATTGATGATTTTGACCCTTGGGTTCACTAATATTTAGTCGGCTTAAAGTCTTTGCTACGTGTCGGGTTATGAATGGCTGTATTACGTCACTCGTGTTAAGATCGGCTGATATGATTGGTCGGTGACATGGATTTCGGAACAGTCCGTGACTCTTATGCATTTTAGATTTACCAATTCTATTTGATTAAGAAAAACTTCTCAACAAGCCAGGTTTGGTCCTTCCATAAGCATATTTTCTATTTTTATCCTGTAAATACAAAAAATTATTTCAATCTAGTCTTTCAGCATCGTTTATCGTTTATTTATTCTTTCAAGAATCACAAAAACTCTTTGCACTCTAAAAGAAAAGGTGCGACTCGTTTAAAGAAAATGCCGCAAACGATGATTGAACTCAGGGTTTTCAACACTCGTTTGAGTTTATAAGACATGATAACATAATTGACAGTTTCAGTATATATTTACAGTAAAAGTTTGTCTATTTCTTATATAAGATGTCCTTTGAGATGTTATAAAGGAGGGTCTTATAATTATCAATGTGTTAATTTCTTCCTCTCTTTTTTGAAGTATATAATATTTTTATACAGCAAATGCAACAGATAAACTCACAAACTCTCCTCACATTTGGTGAGGATTGAACCTCTTACCTCCTAAGAGGTCAAAGGCTACGAAACCGATAGACCAAATACCTTTTGGTAATTTCTTCCTCTTTGATACTCCTATGTGTTATTTCCCTCACCTGTATCATGTCGATCTTCTTCCTGCATCTACTTACGCTACCAAAACCTAAGTCATAAACTTAGATTTATAGAGAAAAATAGAAGAGATAGATTTTTGCAAATTCGATAGCGACCTTTTGGCCATTTCAAATGGAACAAAAAGAAGTTCAAACGATTAAAACATCACTAATTACAAAAAATGGGCGTACGACTCTAAATTCTAAAACTAAAAGCTATGGTACACGAAAGGCTGATGTAAACACATGATTATTCACGTAGTTGTGCATAACTGTAAATAAAAATGTTCTTTTAATAATATTTTTAAAATATAAAATAAATAATAAGTGTGTAGCCAAACACCTACACATCCCGTTTGTATAACAAGTTTACGGTCTATTTCATTCTCAGTATAAATTATTTATTAACAGATCAAGGTTGTAACCCATTGACTTTAGTTATAAGATATCTGTATTAAGTTAAGAACCGTCTGTATAATTATCCGTGTTGATAATGTAAAGGAAAGTATCGTATTTAATTTCCCGTACATGTAATGATTCATGGTAAGGTGTGATAATTTTGAAAACCAAAAGGGTTGATGTTGAACGTCCATATATGATCCAATCAACATATATGCGTGACGCACGAACGTAATTTGGGGAGTATGCAAGTAAGGTTTTAGGAAGACGTAAATTCAAATGTCAGATGATGCATCCGTTAATTTCTAAACATAACAATGTTTTATCTGGTATCTGCTAAAAGGGTTTAATAAGACGTAACATTATTTTGACTTTTGCGTATTTGAAAATCGAAATAACGAACTTACTATTAGTTGTGGCATTTGAAGGAAGAATTCTCCACAACGACCCATGACTAAAATATATTGGAAATATTTTCGGACTAAAGGGCCGTTTACTAAACGCTTGCTTGGTAAGTGCTTACCGGATAAATTTCCTCATTAGATGAACATGACAAGGGCCAAGAATCTTACCGGGGTAAGAGCGATGAGAAGGATGTAGAGTCTTACCTGGTAAGTGACGATGACGACTCTTACCCGGTAAATTGTTGCATTCGATATGTTTTGATGTACTAAAATCTTACTCATCAAGGTAAATTATAATGTTGACTCCAATAGGTAAGCACTTACTGGGTAAGCATTTACCGAGGAAGTATTCGGGTAAACAACCCATAAGTGAACATTGTCGTGTTCTCCAAGTTGGATTGTGCATTTAGTAACAATCAACTAATAAGCATGGATTTGACGTCAGGATAGTTTATATCCGACTTCACTTAGAGGTCAATGTCAAGGGGAGCGATGATTTATTATGTGGGTACACACTATTTTCATAGTTTAAGAATCAAATACATGTGTATAAGTCCATTTTAATCAAATCTACATAATCAATAACGTATAATCGGTGCCACTCCTGAGGTTTTTGATGTTCTGTGCGAATATGCTAAAAAAAATACCCTATGTCTATTCTTTAAGCAAATGAAACGACAAAAAATATGATTTTACTAAAGGGTTTGGAACCTAGTCAAACTAGACAACTCATCCCTACGCCAGATTTTATTAATTAAAATGAAAAATACAAATGAGACATAAAAACCAAAACCCCAAATTACAAAATATAAATATATCACCTAAAACGATGTCTTCATGCAAACAAATCTTTCATTTTTGAATCTAAGTCATCACAAACCATTGGATCAAAAATATTAAAACTAACTTCATCATCACATGGATTTTCATCGTCCCCAACTTCATCAGTACATGGATTTTCAATATTTTCAACAAAATCATTGAGATTTTCAGAAACTTTTTCAGTGGGATTTTCAGAAACATTTTCAATGAGATTTTCAGAAACATTTATAATGGGATTTTCAGATACATTTTAATCAAATCCACATAGTCAATAACGTATAATATTGAAAATTATACCTTACATCTCAACGTTTTCCAGGTTGACACGGAAAGAGAGTTTGTGGTCTTTTTTTCCGTAGAACATAATAAGATTATTCTCCAAAACAGACATTGAGAAGAGAATGAAAGCTCATACATGTATAGCCCTATAGGCGTAGAGAGGTATGAGTTTAACCAATGTGAGACTTTAATACGCGCCCTCCAGTAGATTGTACACATTGATTCTGATACCATACCAGGATATATGAAACCCAACATATTATTATTCAAGAGTTATTGAAGATAGAAAGAATGTTCTAAGTTCTAACATATATAGGGGCATAACAATCCAAGTACAAGGTAGACTCTTAATATATCTGTACTGTATTATAAAACATTTGACAAAAACTCTTAAAAGTTATTCTTTATACATGAAACACCGTGTATTAATACACACTACTTAAAATTTAAAATTACAAGTAAATTGTGCGTAAATATAACTTATTAAAACTTCATATTTGAATTCGTGTAGCTAACTGCAGATAACACAATCAAATATATGATAAATATCTCATTTTAAATATAAAAAAACTAAAACATACTTAAGATAATCATTGAGTTCTAACATAATCATCATCTTTATAAAAAAATGTATTGTTAAGATAAAAATAAATTACTTCACTATTTGACCTAAATTAAATTATAGTAAAAAACTGAATTAAAAAAATTGTATATATATTTTTAAATAATTAATTTGATATTAATATCAATATATTTTTAAATTTTTTTTTGATGTCTTCAAATTTATTTTTATTCAAAAGTAAAAACATTATTTTTTTCAAAACCATATAAAAAAATTAAATCGACCGAAAAAAATAAAAAATAAAATATTAAAATGAAAATTGATGCACTGAACAAACACAATTATTTTTAGGTTATCAAAAAAAATCGTGCAATAAAATATAAAATTAATGATTCTAGGAATATTATGGTGGATTTTATCTTACGAGGGAAACTAAATATAATTTCTGAAAAGGAAAATAACTAAACCACCCATGAGACGACACGTGTCATCAGATAACTGAACTTGCACAACAGTCCATTAGAACCACTGATCACTCAACTCTGTAATCTTTCTTCCCTCCTTCCAATAACCAGACCTCCATGACCGATTTCAACTCCAAATTCGAGAGAGATTTGAGTTGAATCAACCATGGCAACTGCTCCCAACAGCTACCCATCTATCTGTGCTTCCCCGCCATTACCAAGAACGCTAAACTCATCAACGAAACAAACCTTGTCTTTCGTTACCTCTCAGTTCAAGCAAACATCACATAAGAATCCCCAAACACTAAGATTTTCAATCAGGTTAGGGAATTCGAATTTGGAGAAACAGTCGATTTTGGTTGTTAGAGCATCGGAGACCGACTCATCATCGACGGAAAACGGGGGAGAAGAAGAAGAGAGGTATGAAGAGTATGAGGTAGAGATTGAGCAGCCTTATGGTTTGAAATTCGCAAAGGGTAGAGATGGTGGAACCTACATTGATGCAATTGCACCTGGAGGATTTGCTGATAAGACTAAGATGTTCTCTGTTGGTGACAGAGTTCTTGCCACCAGGTATTCGATGAAATGCTTAGCCACTTGTACCAATTTTCTTTTCTTCTCGTAGCCGTAGTTTATGATTTCGTGATGAAATTTCGAATTAATATGCATGATTGGTGCTATTGTTTAATTCTGAATTTTGTTATTTAAAACCTATAATCTTTCATTCTCTAGGGTTTGTGTAGAATTGGTTATGATTATAGTGATTAAGCAGTTTCTGGAGTCCCCCCATTTTGGTTATGCTAGATGCAGTATATTAACTTGGCTACGGACCACTCATTTTCTAGCATGAAGAGCCTAGTGCCACAGTAGCAGCTTCCAGTCGTACCATCTGCTTCTCTAATTGTACATTAGAATCCCATTTTCAAGTATAGTTGATTAGTTATAGCCTGAAATTGAAATGGAGACACGAAACTGGTGTTTTCACCTTCTAGGGCATTTTCCTAAACATGTGGGTTCACTGCTAATACACGCAAGAGTCTTCTGTTTATATGTATCTTAGGGCTTGTTTGTTAGTAACTTAATGAGGTTAATGGAACTTACAGCTTATCCAGTCAGCTATACATGTTTGGTAGTGGCTTAATGATATATAAAATGGCTTACTCGGGAAGCTTTTAGGTAAAACTTTATGCAAAAAGCCAAGTTTTCTCCAAACCTTCCCCTCCCAATTAGAAAACACGCTCCTTCGATCTCCTTCCATTTGTGAAAGAACCCTTTCAAACATAAACCTTCCCAATCTATACAGATAGATTAATCCACATAGATAGCTTTATCTGTAGAGGACTTAGTGGGAAACCAACCAAACAACCCCTTATCCATCTTGGGTCTCATGAAAATTTCTCTCGAATTTCCTTAAATTATTATGGGGTTGAAATGAAATGGGTGGTTGAAAATGTGGTACTTAAATGCTAAATGTTGCAGTGCAGTATTTGGAACAGAGATATGGCCTGCAGCTGAATATGGAAGAACCATGTACACCATTCGCCAAAGAATCGGCCCTCTGCTTATGAGAATGCAAAAGAGATATGGTTAGTTCACATTTGGCAATCTTTACGCTTAACTTTAATGATATGGTTAAACCCGTGTAACTAGCTTCAGTTTTTCTAGTAAAAAGATACAAACTGTGAATGCCGTTGTCATGATCTAAGAATCATCATGGTTGGCAGGGAAGATGGAGGATTCAGGCGAACTAACAGAAAAGGAGATCATCAGGGCCGAGAGAAATTCTGGAGTAGTTAGCAGCAAAGTTAGGGAAATCCAAGTAAGTGTCCCAAGTCCAAATCTCTGGTGAAGCATCAAGCATGCGTGTTCTTTTTTTACTGATACTGTGTGTAATCAATGTTTTGGTTAGATGCAAAATTACTTGAGGAAGAAGGAACAAAAGGAAACTCGAACAAGGGATCTTCGTGAAGGCCTGCAGCTTTACAAGTAAATTACCTTTGAAAAATCACTTTTGTAGTTCTAAAATCTCAAAAGGGTCAATGTTGGTAATGAAATCTTGATAACTTGTTTAGGAGTGCCAAATTCGAAGAGGCATTGGAAAAGTTCGAGTCTGTTTTGGGGTCAAAACCAGAGCTTGATGAAGCTTCGGTAGCAAGTTACAACGTTGCATGCTGCTATTCTAAGCTTAATCAGGTATGATACTATTAGGTGTTGTTCATGTCATAATATGTGGAACCCCATATATACTCTCCAAAATAGCCGCTCTTAAGGAGAGAAATTAGGTTCCATCATATACAAAGAAGAACTGGTCCAAGTCTAGTCGATGTGGGACTTGACCCCCCCCCCCCCGGGCGGAGGCTAGATGGGTGAGAAGGCTACACATGTACAAAGTACCCGTCGAGCTCCGAAAGTGGTAAACCTTGGCTCTGATACCATGTGATTATACGTGAAACCCCATTATTTACTCTCCGAAAGGGCTGTAGAACCCCCCTCCCCCTATTTACTCTCCAAAAAAGCCCATAGAAGAGGAGATGTGCTATCATATATAGAGCATAAATGGTCCAAATCTAGCCGATGTGAACAACTCGGTTGTGTTTTAATTAAGCTGTATGGATTAAGCTAAATTGTTGTTCAGTTGTTGTACTGAATAAACAGTCTGAATGACATAATTGATTTACCCATCAACCATACAACCTATTTAGCCCATTAAACCACAACCGAACAATGCAGAATGTCATAGCTAGAACTTGCTCATGTTTATTATACAAATGGCAGATACAAGCCGGACTTTCTGCTCTAAAAGATGCTATGCAAGCAGGATACGAAGATTTCAAGGTACTTATGAACCATTAAATGATAATCGTATCTTGTTCTAACAAACAAGTTCTTAACAATTACTATTAACACTGCAGCGGATCCGTACTGACCCTGATCTAGAGAATGTAAGGAAATCCGAGGAGTTTGAGCCGTTGATGAAAAAATACGACGAGTCATTTATCAACGAGAACGCGTTAAATGCGATTAAATCGTTGTTTGGGTTCAACAAGAGTTAGAATCTACACGTGTTAGTGTGGTTAGACCCAAATCAAACGGCCATCAGGTTTTTGTTTATAGAATATGTTCATCCATCTTGAATGAAGTTCCATATTCTTTTTTTGTTTTGTTCAATTGTGCATAACATTAATTACCATGAAATCAACTTTATATTATAAATCTCGTCGGTTGGCGTCGAGGTCAAGTCTCAAGTCTTAAAAGTCACGGTGAAACACAATATATTTCAAGACGTGATTTATGACAAAAAATATGTATGTCATATATATGATATTGAAACTTCTCGCCTTCTTGTAAAATGTTTAACTTCTCGCATGATCCTTCCTCTCCCTATATGTATAATTTATGTATGTACACTAAGATGGTGTTTTTTAAGAGGTGTTGAAGTCTGAAGTCTGATTTCACTTCTGATTTTTAAGAGGTGGTATTGAAGTCTGAAATTTGAATCAGTCAGACCGTTTGTTTTTACCTATTCAATATATTGATTATTAACATATATTTGTTTCATAAGATGTTGTTCATATGTATTCAGTTCACAGCGTGAAACTTTTAGTTGCATTTTTTTGTTTCACAAACACATAAAAATGTTCACATTATGAAACAAATACACTAAATCCAAGTAGTAGATGGAAAAAAATCATGTGCACATCATACACTTGTTCTTGAATAAAGGTCCCTAATGACAACTATAAGCTAACAAAGCAAACTCGAATGATTTGACCATCTCAAGATACTTTCACCTCCCTCCCATCTTTTTTTATTAACCTGGATATCCAACCCACCATGCGAGCCGACTAATCCCAGGACGACCACCTGCTTTGCAGATAGCCCGGAATCACCGCATTGAACATCCGTGGCCACAAGGAGATTTTTATTCTTCCTTGGATTTGAACCTGGAACCTCCAGGTGCTTTTGACCTTTAGAGCGAAGCTCAAACCAATTAGACACCACCCTTGTGGTTTTAAATATGTGAATTTGTGTAATAAAATACGAATTTTAAGGAAAAAATCACATTAATTGATGATTTTTAATAATTGTTGCACAACACATAAGCTAGCTGTGTCATCTAAACAGAGCTTTTTCAATAAGTTCAAAAATAAGTTAATATATGATTGTCGAAGTTGATTTAAATAGAGGCGAAATTTAAAGTCTTGTATTATATCTTAACACGGTTCTATTTTTTAAAAATTGATACCTACGTTTATTATAAAATTAGATCGAAAAGTCTCAATTATTTGTACTCATTGTATTTTAACAAAACTTACCTTAAAAAAAACAAAAAATAGACTTGTAGAAGGAAGACCACTTCATTTACATTTATAATAAAAAATGAACCCCATGAAAGCAACTAAAATCAATGTTTCACTTATTTATTTTTTAGACAAATACAAATATAGGTAGAGGATCGTGTGAGAAAGAAAGTTATGGTGAAAAACGTAAGAAGAGATCTGAACCCATGATCACTTTTAATCACATGGCCACACATGAACTGCGTTTTAGAAGATAATTGATCCGGTACATCTCCGTGCAGCTCATTAGTGTTGATATTCAATTAGAATTGATCAAATGGTAAAGATCTCTTCTTATGCTTTAAAGTGGAGTTTACTAGGCTTGGGACCTACTCGCTTGTAGTTTACCATGACTCGAGGGACTTTAAGTCGTCGACCAAGTTACTTCCTTTTTCCAGTTCTACAACCACTAATTCCAAACCATCCATCCTATATAACATGTACATCATTCAATAATAACAGTACATTTCTCTGGTTTTGGAAAAATACACCCCGCGTTTCAAGCCTTTTTATAGTAAACACTAATTATGGTCCCTACGATTTATGAAATCTTTGAAAGTGAGATTTGTATTTTGATAACTGATAAGCCTAGAAAACATACTCGTGGTTCTTAACTTATGTTTTTTTAAGTATATAGAAGACGTTTCATTTACAAACCATGCAATTATAACGAGTTTACAAACCAATCTTAATCGTCCGTTTATTTTTATAAATATTTGATTTTATTTTGTTTCCTTATATAAAGTCATTATCATAATAAATGAACTTTTAGCATCTTACATATATATCTCAATCATAGTTGATAAATCATGATAACTGTTCAAAAATATATCAATTGTTTTCTAATATAATGGTTTGTAAGAATTACATGATTTATATTTGAAACCACCTATATGTGTGTGTGTGTGTGTGTGTGTGTGTGTATGTATGACGGTCAATTTATGAGAAAGCCAGAAGTAACATGAGCCACACAATTTATTTATTATGATCATGAATTTACATAATTTATTTAATGAATCATGTATGTATGTATGACGGTTAATTTATGAGAAAGCGAGAGGTAAAAGAAATCTTAACTTTTACAGCAAAAATACTGTGAATGTTATATTCAAAGTGTTTTGTTGTGAAGTTTAAAGTGTAAAAAAGTGATCTCAATGGGTCTCACGGAAACAACCTGGTCTTACGTGAACCTAAGCGCACACACACACACACACACATATATATATATATATATATATATATAGAGAGAGAGAGAGAGAGAGAGAGTTTGTTTCAAATACAATCCATCACATTTGTACAACCAATGCAACTCAATAAATTGAAATATTTATGGAAATGATGAGAGTTAATTTATTATGATTTAAATATTTATAGAAGATGAATAATGTTCATTAATTATGATCAATACTTTATATTAGGAAACAATCAAAACTTCTATGAAACTACATATTCATCAAATTAAATGAACGGTTGAGATTGAGTTGTATTGGTTGTACAAATGTAAATGGTTGTATAATAACCAACCCCTCTCTCTCTCTCTCTATATATATATAGAGAGAGAGAGAGATAGAGGGAGAGAGAAAGAGAGAGCGAGAGACTTGGGATCATGTGAGACCAAGTTATTTTAGTAAGATCCATGAGACTATCTTTTTATATCTAAACTTTACAGCAAAACACTGTGAAGACACCTTCACAATATTTGTTGTAAAGGTTTGGATTTTTTTACCTTCAAGTCGATCTCCTTCTCCGGCCCAAAACCGCTCATCATCTCCGGCTAAAAACCGGTAACCATATCTATCCAACCCTAAAGGTCAAAATTTTCGGCCATCACTTACTCTCGTCCCCACCCTTTTGCTGTTCTACAACGGATGTACGCCCCAATCTACACACCTTCGATAAAACCAGAAACAAACTTCTTTTTCCTCGTAACTATGACGGGGACTGGTGAGATTAGAGGTGATCTTGGATTGGTGGGGTTGGCCGATCTCAAATCTTATATAGGCTCATTCAAGAGAGAACTGATTAGTTTGTGGTAACCATGAATTTCAATGTGAACCACTCGTTTGATATATTTAAGAATATTTCTTAAATAAGCTAAAAGAGTAATATAGTAATTCTATTTTTTACAACTAATCAAACTATTTAATTAAATTTTTTAGAAGGAAATATTTAATTAAAATTAGTTACCTAATATACATCGAATTTTAAGGACGTTTGTGAATCAAAGTGTATCATAGTAATAATGTTCACAATGTTTCAAGTGCATCACAATTTATTTTCTTGTTTTATGAAATGTATCATAGTGTGCATTTCCGTTAAATTCATTGCTTTACAAAAGGTATCACATTGTGCATCTTGTATGTATATCTGGGTATCATAGTGTGTATCTTGTGTTCACATAAAGTTTATAGGAATAAAGTTCGCTGAATAAGATTCACCGGAGAGAGGAAAAAGGAGAGATGAGAGAGAATATTTATAAAATACCTAAAATGTTCTTAATTAATATTTTAAATTAAAATTACCAAAACTATTAATTTTCTAATTTATTTTTTATTTATAGTTCAGATTAGATCCCATAGCTACTGCAGACAAAATAATTCTCGTTTGATTATATATTCTCAAAATTTACGTCCCACTTTCGAAGATGTTACTAAACCTAAGGGACCAAAATTATAGTTACTCAGCCTTTTATAATCACCACCGCTTTTTGTACAAATACATTCAAATATAAACTCGCCGGAAAACGCCATGGCCACCGTAAGCACCCAACTGTCAATACTATCACTATTCTTCATACTCACTTCCATTCCAATCCCATCATTCGCTTGTCCTCTTCATCAGAAACAAGCACTTCTCCGATTTAAATCCACCGTCACCACCATCTTCAAAGCCAATTCCGATCCCACCTCCGTAGATTACATTCCATTCGTAGAACTCGATTCATGGAATCGTAGTTCCGATTGTTGCTCGTGGGACCGTGTCAAATGCAGCAGAACCAGAAATGTAACGGAGCTCCACCTAGACACGGTCGTTCCAATGTTTGCCGATCCGGTTCCTGTGTACTCTGATATCTTGACTCCCCTTTTTCGAATCCGATCACTGAAACTACTCGATATCTCGATGAATTCATTGCAAGGAGAGATTCCAGGAGATGGGTTCGGTAATCTCACCGGACTGGTTCACCTTGACATGATGCAGAACAGCTTCAATGGCTCCATCCCCGGCCAACTTTTCCGGTTAACGAATTTACGTTACTTGGACATGAGCAACAATTTGCTCAAAGGCGAACTAGCACCTCAACTTTTTCAACTTGAATCTCTTCGATTTCTTGATCTAAGCAACAATACCCTCCAGGGAACTTTAAGCTCAGAAGTTGGTAAGCTTCGAAATCTTGAATCATTGAGGCTGAATGACAATTCCCTTTCGGGAAGCATCCCGGAAGAGATCGGAAATTTAAAGAGGTTAAGAGATCTTTCTCTCGGAAAGAATAACTTCTCCGGCGGAATCCCGACTTTAATTCTACACCTAAAGGAGCTGCAATCACTGGATTTGTCGAGAAATTCTCTCTCCATGCAAATTCCGGCCGGCATAGGAAGACTTTCCAACATGAAGACACTTGAACTGAGCAGCAACCAGTTAACGGGTCCGATACCGTCATCAATGCGAAACTTGACCAAATTGGAATCCTTACGGCTGACGAAAAACAAGCTCGCCGGAGAAATCCCAACGTGGTTATTCAAAATCAGCACATTGAAGGAACTGTTCATCGGAGGAGAAGGGAACAACTTGATTTGGAACAACAAAGCAAAGATTGTTCCCAGATGTAGGCTACGACAGATCTCTCTGCCTTCCTGTCAAATTTCCGGTCAAATTCCTGAATGGATTTCATCGTTCAAAAATTTGGATTTTCTTGATTTGACCGATAACCAATTGGAGGGAAAGTTCCCGGATTGGCTCGCCGAGATGGACGTCGGAAGCATAATCCTCTCCGACAACAATTTCACCGGATCACTCCCACCTCGCCTATTTCAATCTCCAAGGTTATCGATTCTTTCATTGTCCCGTAACAACTTTTCCGGCGAGCTACCGGATAATATAGGTAACGCAAGTGGGATTATGATCTTTGTGTTGTCCGGAAATAAATTTTCCGGACAAATTCCGGTGTCCATATCTAATATCTATCGACTACTGTATTTGGACTTCTCCAGAAATCAATTTTCTGGCGAAGTCCATGTTTTTGGACATAATCCTCTTCTTGGTTTCATTGACTTGTCCTATAACGAGTTCTCCGGTAAGATTCCGACGACTTTTCCTAAAGAAATCCTAATGATTTCTTTGGGTGGGAATAAGTTTTCCGGCGACTTGCCTTGGAATTTGAGTAACTTGGTCAACCTCGAACTTCTTGATCTCCATGACAACGATGTTAAAGGAAATTTGCAGGATATTTTGCCTCAAATCCCGACTCTTCAAGTTCTAAGCCTAAGAAACAATTCCATTGAGGGATTTATCCCGAGAACAATCTCCAACCTCACGTCTCTCCGGATTCTTGATCTTTCCGAGAACAACTTAACTGGAAGTATTCCACAAGAAATGGGAAGCTTTGCGAGAATGATCAACACTCCAAAAAATGTCTTAGCACCCATAGACGTTTTCACCTTTTTCATCAAATTTTCTGACTTGGTACTGAACTGGAAGAGCTCTTTTCAAGGCCTATCGAGTCGTTACCTTAACATCTACTCTTTCTTGGATTTATCGGAAAACAGATTATCCGGCAAAATTCCAGCTTCGTTAGGCAATCTCAAAGGCCTAAAATTGCTCAACGTTTCACACAACAACATCTCGGGACTTATTCCAATGTCTTTCGGCAACATGCAGAGCCTGGAGACATTGGATTTGTCACACAACATAATCTCGGGTTTGATTCCTGAATCACTAACTAAATTGGATCAGCTCGGGATCCTAGATGTGAGCAACAACAGGCTGACAGGTAAGATTCCCGTGGGTGGGCACATGAGCACATTGACCGAGTCGATGTATTATGCCAACAACAGTGGATTATGCGGCATGCAGATCAGGATCAAATGTGCTGAGGATATCTCACCGTCTAAACCAAAGGAGAAGGAAGACAAGAACCAGTCATTGATTTCGTGGGAGACAACTTTGATCGGTTTTCCAGTTGGGTTTTTCGCAACAATCTTTATGATGGCATACTCACTGAATTTTCTACATATGTTCAAATTTTGGTGAAAATTTGTGTCATCATATCAAATTTCTAGTCTTTATAGCAATAATTATCAGAGAGTAAAATCCATCAATAATGTATGTGTTACTTTTTTTTTATAGCAAGAAATCTGCTTTTATTTATGTTCCGCCACATTTTCCATTAAATAAATAATATAATATGTTAATTAATTAATCTTAATTATTAATTATATAGGTTACAAAAATCCATGATTTTTAGCTATATTCTTGTGATATAACAGCCTATTAAAGTAACGTATTTTAACTTGATTCATATTTTGAGTAACGTACTTTAAAACTTCCATTTTGATACCTAAGATGTAAAATTTTAAATATTTAAGTACCCGAGTAACCGTTTATATAATTGTATTGTACAAAGTGTATGAGCCACCATACTAATTAATTTAACACAACTATAACTAAAGTGCAAACTCTGTTTAGTTTCATATATGCAATCAAATATGTGTTCATACATAAATTAAGGTCGAAGTCATACTTACATTAAATGTAAACGACGAACTTGCATCTCATACAAATGACTATTGTGGTTGGGTCCAAATCGACCATCTGAATCGAACACTTCCACATTAGAACTCGACAAAGGGCATCGAGGCAAGGCCACAAGGAATGAGGGGTCAAACCATCGAAGGGCGAGGACACGGGGATGTAAAGCAAAGAATGATCGTGTATTTAGCCAAAAGCTCAGAAACTCGAGTTATCAAAAGTTTTCTCATTCATCTCTCATTTAATTGCTCTAGAACTCTCGTTCTCGCTCTCGATCTATTGATTCTTTACTATTGGTGTAAATCGAATACATTTATGGAGTCGTTTATATATGTTGGATTTTAAACTGTCATACAATTTTTTTCATCGATAGACTGTAATTGGAACCATAACTCTTATTTATTTAAATTGTATTAATATGAAAAAAAAACCAAGTGTAACTTATATCATCGTTAAATCTTCTATAATAAAACCAGTAAAACTTCAAAATCATTAAAATTCACAGCTCACACCGCATTGCGCTGTTACACAACTAGTTTAAAATAGAAAATCTATCGTAGCTATATGTAAATCTTTTTAGAGATTGACTTTTTTACTTATCTATTTTAAAGAAATTATAGAGAATCTTCAACTCAAACCCATTAAAGATATAATAACTCAAGAAAAATCTCGTAAAAAGACAGATATAAAAACATAAAAAATCTCGTTGTGTCAAATCAACAGACAATTCACTGAGCTCTTTTTGTTAAAGCTTCGAACAAAGATTCAAAGATTTTTTGGGTACCGAGGCTCGGAAATAAACGACAAGCAAAATCGAATGATTCAATCGTCTCAAAACACCTTCACCTCCCTCTTATCTTCACAATGATAAATCGTAATTTTAACATCCAATTTGGTTGGTTGTATGTTGTTAAAATAAATCTGTTAAATAATACTGTATTTTTTTATTGACAAATTAAATCAATTGATTTGGTAATAATTAAAAAAAAATTGTTTAGTTAATTTTAAATATAATTTATAAATAAGAAAAAAAAATGATAGGTGATCAAAAACGATTTTATTAAGAAACACACATTTTAAATTAAAAAATATTAGTGGTTGTTTATTTACCTATTAATAATTTCATTAAGATGCATCATATAAATCGTTAAAAAAATCTGTCTCTTAATGTTTTTAAACCTTCTTAATAATTTTGTATCTTGTACTCCTTTTAACCATTCAGAACCCTAATTTAATTGTTAACAATTACCAAATATTTATATTTTAATTTTCATTATATCATAAAACCTTTTAATTATTTTATATCAAATTATTCAATAAATTCTTAATTTTTTAATACAAAATGATAATGCGATTTCATGAGCTAAGAGGTCAAACTTGTGAATAGAAAGTCAATGTAAGACCTGCGAATTTTACAAAAGTCACAGTAATATTACTTCAACGTGGTTGACTTGACTCGTTGACCTCGACCTTCTGAAGGTTTTTTTTAAGAGTATCTCGCTTATATTAATTTTGAAAATTTAAGAAAATTGTTTTAATAATTATGTTTAATTTTTATCTAAAATATAGAAAAAATAATAATGGATAAATTTTTAAAATTATAAGAAGAGAAGAAAAAATATAATATATCTGTTCGAAATGTTTTAAGGGTCTACTTGTTAACAACTTAATGTACTTAATGGGATTCATAACTTATTTGGTCAGTTATACATGACTATTTGATAATATATTTATGATATAAAAAGTGACTTATTCAGTAAGCTTTTATGAGAGAGTTTTATGCAGAAACCAAATTTTTTTTCTCTAATTTTATCTCTTCCAATTACAAAACACACTTCTTTTATCCATGAAAAAACCATTCAAACCAAAAACCTTTTCAATTTATACCGACAGATTAATCTTCATATACAAACCATGTGTCGAGTTACCTCGGGTCTTTTACGTTTTTTCGGGTTGGTTTGGCCAAGTTGATTGGTTTTTTGAGCACCCATAATATATGATATTTTCAAATGGTTAAAGGGCTGTTTGGCAGTTGCTGAATGGTTTGGTGCAGAATGATTAAATAGTCAGAATGATTAAGAGACTCTCATGATATAATGCAAAATGAAATAGATTGTTCAGTAATTGTTTACAATAGAATTAGAGTGCTGAATGGTTAATGGAGACCTATGATACAAAATCATTAAGAGGAATTTAGAACTATTAAGAGATATAACTTTTTTTTTTCAAACAATATTCACCTTTTAACGATTCAAAAGTTGTCTCTTAATAGAACTATTAAGAAGTAAACAAAAGCTTTATTATAATAATAAATAATAAAAAGTATAATATTATAATCTATACTATCTTATTAAACAAATTTACCAAAAGTCTTAAAGTCTTAAAATACTAAATGACCAAGATACTTTTTATACTACCATTAGGTCACTTTTTCACCATCTCATCTCTCACATACACTCACCCCCTCACATACACTCACCTTATCACAACCATTTTTTATATATTATAATTTTAACTTTACATTTTATACTCCTATAATTAGTTAAATAATTTACTTTACGTCTTTTACTTTTAAATGTTTCGTTTTAAACATTTATCAAATTAACATACATAATCGTATATCAATTAAAACATGTTTAAAAAATACATTTTTATTTTAACAAGTTACATCATTATAATCGTCTCGTTAATACCTTCGAAATGAGTCCAATATTAAATAGTTTTTGATTTAATTATATTATTATTTATTATATATACTGTGAAAAAATATTTTTAATATTTATGATATATACTTTTATAGTTATTTATTTTTATATATATACTATATATTTTAAGGTCAGACAGTCCAAATTGCACTGTATAATATGTTCTGAATTAATATGTTCTTAGGTTTTTTGAAATATATATATATATATACATGTTGAAATTTCATTCTAAAACCCATCTTTTTTGGTCTTTTCATGGATTATGATMTGTCAAATTTGTAGTTTTCTTTATTGGTTTTGAGTGTTTATCTTAAAACTCAAGTTTCTTGGTTCTTTTCTCTTGGTGTAAATCAAACATATTTGTGGAGTCGTTTAAATATATTGGATTTTAAACTGTCATACAATTTTTTTCATCAATAGTCTGTAATTGAAATCATAACTCTTATTTATTCAAATTGTATTAATATGTAAAGACCAAGTGTAATATATATCATCGTTAAATCATATCTTATAAAACCAGTAGAACTTCAAAATTGTTAAAATTCATGGCTCCTACCGCATTGCACGGATACACAACTAATTTTTTAGTGAAAGATGGGTTGGATTTACATAAAGACGTATCTGTTTTATTGAGATTCACGAGACTATAAAATAACACTGAAATTTCATAGCAAAATATCGTCGAACGATGGAAGATGGAGTTTACCATTTTTAAAGTGGAGTTTACTTGGTGTGGGACCTACTCATGCTCAATATTCAAACTCATGCTTGTAGTTTACCATCACTCCATTGACCCTCAGTAGTCGACCTAATTATTCCCTTTCTCCAGTGCTAAAACCACTAATTCCAAACCCATTCATGCTATATAACTTGTACGTTATTCAACAAAAACAGTATATTTCTCTGGATTTAGAAAAAATACCCCCAACGTTTCAAGCCTTTATAATCACCACCGCTTTTTGGTCAAAAACATTCAAACAACAGAGTCGCCGGAAAAAGCCATGGCCGCCGTAAGCACTCAACTGTCAATACTATCACTATTCTTCATACTCACTTTCATTCCAATCCCATCATTCTCTTGTCCTCTTCATCAGAAACAAGCACTTCTCCGATTCAAATCCACCGTCACCACCATCTTCAAAGCCAATTCCGATCCCACCTCCGTAGATTACATTCCATTCGTAGAACTCGATTCATGGAATCGAAATTCCGATTGTTGCTTGTGGGCCCGTGTCAAATGCAGCAGAACCAGAAATGTAACGGAGCTCCACCTAGACGCCGTCGTTCCAATGTTTGCCGATCCGGTTCCGGTGTACTCTGATATCTTGACTCCCCTTTTTCGAATCCGATCACTGAAACTACTCGATATCTCGATGAATTCATTGCAAGGAGAGATTCCAGGAGATGGGTTCGGTAATCTCACCGGACTGGTTCACCTTGACATGATGCAGAACAGCTTCAATGGCTCCATCCCCGGCCAACTTTTCCGGTTAACGAATTTACGTTACTTGGACATGAACACCAATTCGCTCGAGGGCGAACTATCACCAGAACTCGGGTCTTTTCGGAATTTGACAACGTTAAGGTTAAGTGTAAATCAATTCCAGGGTTCCATTCCTTCTCAACTTTTCAAACTCAAATCTCTACGAGTTCTTGATCTAAGCAACAATACTTTCGATGGAGTTTTAAGCCCAGAAGTTGGTAAGCTTCGAAATCTTGAATCATTGAAGCTGAATGAGAATTTTCTTTCTGGAAGTATCCCGGACGAGATCGGAAATTTAACGAGGTTAAGAGAATTTTCGCTCGGAAAGAATAAGTTTTCCGGCGGAATCCCGTCATCGATTGTGCACTTAAAGGAGCTGGAATCACTGGATTTATCTAGAAATTCTTTCTCCATGCAAATTCCGGCCGGCATTGGAAGACTTTCCGACATGAAGACACTTGAACTGAGTAACAACCAGTTAACGGGTCCGATACCGTCATCAATGCGAAACTTGACCAAATTGGAATCGCTACGGCTAACGAAAAACATGCTCGCCGGAGACATTCCAACTTGGTTGTTCAGAATTAAAACATTGAAGAAATTATTCATCGGAGGAAAAGGGAACAACTTGATTTGGAACAACAAAGCAAAGATTGTTCCAAGATGTTCGCTAGAACACATCTCTCTGTCTTCCTGTCAAATCTCCGGTCAAATTCCTAAATGGATTTCATCTCAGAAAAATTTGGTTTTTCTTGATTTGAGCGATAATCAATTGGAGGGAAAGTTCCCGGATTGGCTTGCCGAGACGGACGTCGGAAGCATAATCCTCTCCGACAACAATTTCACCGGAGAACTCCCACCTCGCTTATTTGAGTCTCCAAGTTTATCGATTCTTGCATTGTCCCGTAACAACTTTTCCGGTGAGTTACCGGAGAATGTAGGTAACGCCAGAGCGATTATGATCTTTATGTTGTCCGGAAACAAATTTTTCGGACAAATTCCAGTGTCAATATCCAATATCTATCGACTACTGTTTTTGGACTTCTCCAGAAATCAATTTTCTGGCAAAGTCCCGATTTTTGGAGACAATCCTCTTCTAGCTTTCATTGACTTGTCCTATAACGAATTCTCCGGTGCGATTCCGTCAACTTTCTCAACAGAAACCCAAATGATTTCCTTGGGTGGGAATAAGTTCTCCGGGGAATTGCCTCGGAATTTGACTAACTTGATCAACCTCAAACATCTTGATCTTCATGACAATGATATTACTGGAAATTTTCAGGATATTTGGCCTCAAATCCCAGCTCTTCAAGTTCTAAGCCTAAGAAACAATTCCGTTGAAGGATTTATCCCAAGAACGATTTCGGACCTCGGTTCTCTCAGGATTCTTGATCTCTCCGGGAACAACTTAACCGGAAGTATTCCACCGGAAATCGGAAGCCTTGTAAGAATGATCAAAACTCCAGATATCTTAGCATCCACCGACATTTTCAACTTCTTGATCGAGTTTCCGGACTTGATTCTGAACTGGAAGAGCTCTTTTCAAGGCTTATCAAGTCATAACCTCGATATCTACTCTTTCTTGGACTTGTCGAACAACAGGATATCCGGTGAAATTCCAGCATCATTGGGCAATCTCAAAGGCCTAAAACTGCTCAACGTTTCACACAACAACATCTCGGGGATTATTCCAGTGTCTTTCGGCAACATGAAGAGCCTTGAGACCTTGGATGTTTCTCACAACGAAATCTCGGGTTTGATTCCTAAATCACTAACTAAACTGGATGAACTCGCGATTCTAGATGTGAGCTACAACAGGTTGACAGGTAAGATTCCTTTGGGTGGGCAAATGAGCACGATGAACGAGCTGAAGTATTATGCCAACAACAGCGGCTTATGCGGTATGCAGATTGGGAGCAAATGTCCCGAGGATATCTCAATCTCACCATTAGAACCAAGAGAGGAGGAAGACGAGAATAATTCATGGATTTCGTGGGAGGGAACTTTTATCGGTTTTCCAGTTGGGTTCTTCTTATCAATCTTGACCATGGCCTACTCACTGAATTTTCTACATCTGTTCAAATTTTGGTGAAAATTTGTGGGCATGATATCAAATTTCCAGTCTTTATAGCAATAATTGTCAAGAAGAGGGAGGAACAAGAAATCTGTCTCTAATGTTTATGTTTTCAGCAAGAAATCTGCTTCTGTTTCTGTTCTTACATAAATTCCCATTTCACTTAAAAGGGTAATTCAAGAAAATCAAGTAACGGGTAAAATCCCAAATCAAAATACAAAAACACGATAAATTTCGATAACGTAAAGCCTGAACACCATAGAAACGACGAAAAGCAACAAACTTTACAGTGATTTTCATTATCAGACAAAGATCCAAAGGTGGGAATGGAGCCAAGTGTTTGGAAAGCTCATTAATAACAGAAATTCTTACATCAGAACGCAGAAGAGCCAGCGTCAAAGAATTAGAAAACGAAATCTAGAAATGGAGCTCGGATCTTTGCAGGATTCTCGGTCTTTATATCCAATTCAATGAAGTAAATGAAGAGATGAACACTTACAGATGATCTTATCTTTATTCTATCAACATGGATATGGTTCAGGAAGCATCAAAGAATCGTGCAAAAGCAACTTCTATCGTCGTCTTCGTTGTCAGTATCTCCTGTTTCACTGTCAGAAAACGTCCAAACGAAAAACAAGATTAAAATCTAGAGCTGTGTGATGAATGTTTTCATATCTCCCTATGCATTCCAGACAGACATTGGGGCTGTTTGGTTGGTTTTCCATGAAGTCCTGTATACATAAAGGTTTTCGTTTGGGAGGGGGGTTTTATAGATAGAAGGAGCTTGTTTTTTAATTGGGAGGGATAGGCTTGGAAAAAACTTGACATTTTGCATAAAGCTCCCTTAGAAGCTTAGTGAATAAGCCGCTTTCTATATTATTAAGTCACTACCAAACAATTGTGTATAGCTGACCGAATAACATGTGAGTCTCATTAAGCTCATTAAGCTGTTAACAAACAGACTTATAATCTTCTTAACCATTAATAACCAATTTCTATCAATTCACATCTAGAAATCAGTGTTCTACTGCATTTGATCTTTAACAAGTATCACTGATCAGTTCTTTGTTCAATCTTTTTCCAAATTATCATATGATCAATTCTAGAATCTAAAGATTTGTGATTCTCCATGTTCAGATTCCAAAATTCCCATCAACAAAAGGCAATAACAATTCAAATTCCAGCAAGAAATTGTTTCCACATTCACAAAAGTATAACAAGAAAAGGGTATATAGAAGCTAACCTGGATTCAAATTCCTTGATATCAACAAGTTCTTTGCCTAAATTATCCATCCATTGCACCTTCTTTCTCTCAATTGGTGATCTTGATTGGGAATTATCATTGTTCTTCATACAACTTCTGAGAACAATACTCTCTGGTTCTTGCTTCCCATCTTCTAGAATCTCTTTCTCCTCAACTTCAATAATTTCTTCAACATCAGGGGATACATGATTTTGATCAGATGGATCAGTTACAAGTGATAGAGGAGGGGCATGAGTGGAATTTTCCAATTTCAAAGGCCCGGGATTGTAAAGATGAGTAGCAGTGGAGGGTTTGCAGAAACATATGAATGAAGGACAGTGGATCTTGCAGAACAAAACCCTCATGAAAATACTCTTCATTAACTAATCATTCATCTGTAAAAAACTCACAAATTTCAACCGTTCACTAACCCATTAATCAAGAAACAATACAAAATCCCAAACATCAATCTTGAACCCTAAAGAAAAAGAATTGGGGGTTTTCTTCAATTTCTTGAAAAAAATCAAGTTGCAAGATCCATCAACAGGTGAAATCTTGGGAGAAAATAAAGATCACCCAGAAGAATTCAATGCAAATAATGATGACCCAGAACTTGGATTCCTGCTAAAACTGAGAAATTAATGGGGAAAAAAAGATGAACAGATGCTTTGCAAATGAAACAAGTTTTTGGAAGTTACTTTATGATGCATAGAATGAAGAAAAAGAAGCAAAAGAATACCTCCCAAACAAGACTTTGTTCTCAGGACAACAATTTATTATCCACAAATCTCTGTTTCTTGAGTTACTATTTTTAAAGAGAAAGGGCATAAGACAAGACAGTATTTTGTAACCTTTATCTTCTTCTCAGCAAAGAAAGAGAAAGAGAGAGAGAGAGGACAGGAGGAAAGAACCATTCATGGATCTCAATGATTGACCATTTTGCCCTCACTCTTCAAAACACAATAGGAGAAAACACAACAAACCCTTATAAATTTCTTCCAACAAGATCATAAACATGACCCAAAATCAGATCACAATTAAAACATGGATCCATCAATGGCAGAAGAAGCAATAAAAGGGAAAGATGATTGGGAGTGAGCTGTCCAAATTAAATTATAGATAATTGGTCAAAAGCTACAAAAAGGGTATCAACAGAAAGCCATCAATTTGCTATTTTGATAGGCAAAAATCCAATTTTTAGGACATTCTGTAACCTTTAACTGTTCTTTAACCCCTAAAGAATATTTAGTGCAGTGTCATTACTCATAGGTAACTGTCATTACTCATAGGTAACTGTCATGACTCATATTTTTCTCTTCTTTTTTTCTTGGTCTTTTTGCCCTTTTGTTAAAGGAACTTTCTTGATTGAAAAGATACCCTTGATAACAAGATGTCTTCTATTGGTCAAAAAAAGAATTCCCTTTTCTTGCAACTAAATATTTATTATTTTTTTTAAATGTTTGAGAGCTAATTTTACCTACAAATAAATGTTAGGTACTTTTGGGTCTCTTTTCTGGTAAGGGGATGTTTGTCGGTGCCCGTTGCTAAATGGTTTGGTACAGAATGATCAAGAGACTCTTATGATATAGTGTAAAATGAGATATAGTTGTTTGGTAATTGTTTACTATGAAATTACGGCTGCTGAATGAGTTAATGGAGGTACATGATACAAAATCATTTAGAGGGTTTTAGAACCATTAAGAGACGTATTTACTTTTACCGGACAAGATTCATTTCTTAAGGATTCAGAGACTGTCCCTTAATGAAACTATTAAAAGGTAAACAAATAACACCCAAGTTGCTATTTAAGTTTCATTAGTTATTTTCTAATTATTATTTTCAGGGTTTCATGAAATTAGTCGAGATATACTTCAGTTATTACGACCACTCAATTTAAAAAAAATACATTTGTTTAAATTAATTCGATATTTCTTTTAGTTGCTTCAAAATAAACTTAACATTTTTTATTTTAGGCAAAATAATTAATTTGAAATTATGTTTTCATTCACTCGCAGTTATTGCAAAATTTTCGAGCATCTTTAATGAATTCTTCAAAATTTCTCTAAAGAAGATAATTATAAATTAAAATATTAAAAAAAATACATTCAATCCCAACATCTTATTTATTTTAAATATTATAACATCAATTATTTATTAAAAATAAACATGAAATGAAATGAAAATGAAAATGAAATTCATTCCCTTTGGTTTGACCTGAATCGCAAATTTGAGCTTTATATTATATAAAATCAAACGGTTCATTTTATTTTCATTCGCGTTACTGCTCAATATCTTTAACCGAACACACTCTTAATAAAAATGTGTTTCTCTTTCATAAACATTTAATTTAATTATTATAATAATAATAATAATAATAATAAACTATTTTTCTCTCGTTAGCAATCATTTTTAAAGAATCCTTCAAATTTTAATAAATTTACCTTTTTTAACAGAGAAAGTATTGAAAAATCTGTTGAAAAATAAACCAAAAATCACTCAAATCTTTATTTACTAAATTTTAAAAAATAAAATTGATGAAATTAAAGTTATAACATTGAATTTGACATGGATGTTATTTTTTTCACTTTATTCTTGTCAAGAGAGAGGGAGACACTTGCTTTTTGGAACTTGTTATCTTTGATTTTTTTAAGAAAAGTTTTAAATTTAATTTTCACAAGACGTTTTGTTATTAACCTGAATATCTAATCCATTATGCGAGCCGACTAATTTCAAGTAGACCATCTGTTTTGCAGGTAGCTCGAACCACCGCATTTGAACTTCCATGGCTATAAGGGATTTTTTATTCCTCCTTGGATTCGAACCTATTAAGATGTTGAAACTTATATTGTATTATATTTTAATACTAATGAACTGATAATGTATAGATCAGTTGTTATTAATGTGAATAAGAATATATTGATAACAATGTTTTTTTTTGAAGTATATAATATTATATACGTCAAATACAGCAAATTAAACTTACGCACCCTCCTCACATTTGGTGAAGTTTGAACCCCTGACCTCCTAGGAGGCAAAAGATTACAATACCGCTAGGCCAAAAGCTCTTTAGTTGTTGATAACAATGTTTATGTACAAATCAATTCAATAATTTATTATTTTTAAATAAATAGTTCATACCAGTTTTAAGTTAATATACGAACTGATAATATTTTGTTTTGTTTCTTATAATTAAGAAATTCTTAAACATGACATATGTTACCAATAAATGCAAATGCCACTTTAAGTTTGACGAAATTGCAAGTTTTCATATATGTAATTTGAAGTTAGTATGAAACCAGTACCAATATGAATCAATCGGAAAAAATGGTACTGATTGAATTGGTACCAAGTATGGTTATATGGTACATGATATAAGATTTTATGTTACAATTATAAGTGGTTGATATATGTTATTAGAGGAAAAAATGTAGGGGTTGTTTGTTTACCTCTTAATAGTTCTATTAAGGGGTTGTTTTGTTTACCTCTTAATAGTTCCATTAACAGGCAGCGTCTGAATCGTTAAGAAGTGAATTTTGTTTGGCAAAAAAAAAAAGTCTGTCTCTTAATGGTTCTAAAACCCTTTGAATGATTTTGTATCTTGGGCCTCCCTTAACCATTAAACGCCCTAATTCCATTGTAAACAATTACCAAACAAGTATATTTCATTTGACACTATATCATGAGAGTCTCTTAGTCATTCTGACCACTTAATCATTTTGCATCAAACCATTCAGCAACTTCCAAACAGCCCCTAAGAGGCAACATATGAATTATTAAGAGATGAATCTTGTTTGACAAAAAAATTTTTTTGTCTCTTAATGGTTGTAAAACCCTCTAAAGGATTTTGTATCTTAAATCTCTCTTAACTATTGAACGTCTTAATTTAATTGTAAATAATTATCAAACAATTACATTTTATCTTACTCTATATCATGAGAGTCTCTTAATCATTCTGCGTCAAACCACTTAATCATTCTGCACCAAACCATTTAACATCTGTCAAATTACCTTTTAGTGTCGTACCGATTCTACCCCTATTAAATTCAAGAAATAAATACGTTTAAAATAATTATTACATTGATTTACATTAAAAAATAATAAAAAATACAAAAAATAAAATAAAATCACGACTCATATCATATCATATCCGTCGTCTTAATCTAGAAAAATGCGATGCACGTTTCGAAGATGCAATTAGACCCATCACCCATACATTAAATTACATTTTAATGTATTTTGCATATATTTAATATTAAAATCATATTTAAAAAACAATAAATATTTATTAAAAGTAATATAATATGAAGAAATAGGACTTAATGAAAAAGGCATGTGATTCAGATGCCAAAGACACCTTCTTATTGGAAGACAAAATCTGTTTAGTGGATCTAGGTATTTTCTGATTTATGTTATTTTATATTATTGGTTTTTAAAAAAAATATATTTTATTAGATAATTAATATATAGCTACTCAAAATGCAATAAATGAATTTAAATAGGCACTGACATTGTTTTAGTTTTTCCTAACATATCTTATGGGTTGTTTGACAGTTACTGAATAGTTTATTGCAAAAAGATTAAGTGGTCAGAATGATTAATATATTCTCATTAAAACAAAATCAGGCTTATAGGACACTCCTAATTTCTACGCGTCCTAATAGACCTTTTTATAAAACTTAGTTTATAGGACCAAAAAAATAAAGCGTCATATCTAAAGGCGTTAATAAGTTTATTTGACGTTTTTTTGACGTCGTAATAAGTTTTTTATGACACGTCTAATATAAAACGTCTCATTAACAACTTTATATGACACTATTTGAAAAACTGTCCTATAAAAACAAATGTCCTATAAAAATTTGAGTTTATGGGACACTTTCTCAAAAGTATTCTATAAAGTTGCTAATGTGACATTTTGTATTAAAAATGTTCTGAAAAATTTGTTAAGACGCCCAAAAGCGTCACATAAACATATTACAACACCTTTAGATATGACGCTTTATATTTTAGTCTTATAAATCAAGTCTTATAAAACGGTCTATTGGGACGCTTAAAGATTGAGGATGTTCTATAAACCCAATTTTATTGTAATGTCTCATGTATAGTGCAAAATTAAATATAATTGTTTGATAATTATTTACAATGAAATTAGAGCGTTGAATGGTTAAGAGAGACCCGTGATACAAAATCATTCAGAGGGTTTTAGAACCATTAAAAGACATATTTTTTTTTTGTTTGCTAAACAAGATTCACCTCTTAACGATTCAGATGTTGTCTCTTAATGAAACTATTAAAAGATAAACAAACAACTCTTTACGCTCTCTGATTATCATGTCTGATTGATATTCTCGTATGTGCTATTTAATTCACCCTCGTCGTAGTCGATAACATAATTTCTATGGTTGTTTTCAAGCACGTTGATGATCTCTCGGTTTATCATAACACAATTCTCGTACACTTCATATGAACCATAACTCATAATTATAAAGAAGAGAGAGAGGAAGTATGCGAAGAAAGCAGGCTTCTTTATCTACCGAGAGAGAGAGAGAGAGAGAGAGAGAGAGAGAGAGAGAGAGAGAGAGAGAGAGATCATCAGAGAAATTTTGATGCTTAAAGTATGGGTAGTTGTATGATACTTTAAATCAATGTACGAATTTAATGATTCTCCGTTCTATGTCATACTAACTTATTCAACGACATTAGCCTTTGAAGGCATGATCCACATACAGTAAAATTTTATGTAAACCTATGTGATTCACATATGAACTATATCTTCATATATGAGTCCGTGTAATACACATGTAAACTATTTTAACTGATATACATATGAACTAATTAATGGGTCACGTATGAACTCATTTGATGTCTATTTGTAAAAGTTACAAAACTACCTCTCCATCTTCCGCATACCCGTGCAAGAAACTATTTGGTACTTCACGATCTAAGCCACAAATATTGATCAGATGATAGGCTAAAGTCACTTCTTTACTTCTCAAATGAACCTTTACATATACAT